CTGGCAATTTATGTTTTAACAGGTTCTCCAAATGGGTCTGATGCCTATTTGATGTAGAATATGGCGATATTTGAGATTCAGATAGCAAGCCAGTCTCCAAGGAATGCAGATCTCAGAGAGTACTGCTTCTGGAGAGAAAAAGAACCTAGTGATATTCTCCTGCTAAAAAAAAAATATCCCTCAAATTTCAATGGGGTCAGGATCTGTCTCATCAGGGCAAAGACAAATGCCATGACATGAAAGTTACTCTTCTGCAAACACTTGTGTCTAGCTAAATCTACTTCCAAAGAATAGTGCAGGAGATTTGTAAAAGGGCCACAGTCATCCTGGTCATCAGAACATGGAGGATATACTGAGCTTGAATGACAGGGGTTATAGAGACTGTAAGGGGTGGTTGGCGCTGACTGTGAATATGAACTTTGGTCTTTCTTCAGCAACTGCTGTTAGAGACCCCTTCCTGTGCCAGAGAACCACCTGGGCCCAGTTTCCTCCATCCTAATGTAGCTCTGCTTATTTTCTCTCCTTTATTTTATTAGCAAACATTAACTATACATTATAGTGGCTTTGCTTTTTATCTGTATGTCCACTTCAAGTGGGACTGAAAAGTAGAGCAGCCCTCAGAAACCAAGTCAGAGGTAAACAGTCACAGAGCAGGTTTTGGTGGCCATCACAAAACCTCTTATTTCCTAGAGTAATCACTTATGTAAAATGATTAGGAAATAACAGTTGCTAATAAGCTGCTTCACCAGAAGTCATTTCAAATCTGTTATCACCTGAGGTATAACTTCCCTGAAGTAGAAAGATAAAGTCACCATGGAGATGGCCCTTCATTCCCATCAGCAGCCACCATCAGCGTTACAATTTTAAAAACTCTACTCGCAGTTTGTTCTTTTATATCTAACATTAAGAAAACAAAAAGGAGTTGGGCAGGGTGGTGCAGGCCTATAATCCCAGCAGCTCGGGAGGCTGAAGAAGGAAGATTGTGAGTTCAAAGTCAGCCTCAGCAACTTATTAAGGCCCTAAGCAACTCATCAAGACTCTGTTTCTAAAAATATATACATAGGCTAAGGATATGGCTCAGTGATTAAGTACCCCTGGGTTCAATCCCTGGTATGAAAAAAAAAAATTTTAAAGAAAGAAAACAAAAAAAAGTCGCACATCCCCACTTCTCACACATCACTCAGGTGAAAGAGGCCACCTACAATCAGCCCGGTCTCTGTCTACCATTTAGTTGAGCCAGTGCTCACATCTGAAATGTTCTTTCTTCATTCTCCTTTTGCTCATTCGAACCCTGACACTGTTGCTCTCCAAAAGTTTCTAAAGGAAGAAGCACAATCTCATCTTCAATGGATCTATCAGCTTCTACATCAACTTTTATCTGCCTCCCCATCAAAAATTATATAATTTTAAAAACCGCACTGAGGCAGATGTGTGTTTACTTTGAGAAGTAAAAATGTTAACATTTAAACTGAAAGCCTGTTTCAGTTTTAAGGTACTTAATTGCCTTACAGCATATAATAAACCGAGCCCATCTTGTCATTCAACTAATGGAGGGAGTGATAAAGAGATAGGCGCCCAGGACCCTATTCATTCCAGTGTTCCTTTGTACTTGGTTTACTTTGGCACCGTGCCTCATGTGTATTTTACACTTCTTTACATTTCGTACATCCCTGTATGACAAATACTTGTCAAACAAAAACTAAACAGATTTATAACCCCTTAACTTGAAATGAGCCAAAATTGAACTGCCAAAACTTTATGACTTCATTTTCTTTCATAGTTTTCCACTACATTGGTTCAAACAGACAAACCCCACTTGAGGTCAAGCAGAGGTCATTTCACTTTCATTACTAAAATATAATTTACAATATGCCAGACCTAAACAAGTTTAGCCTAAAGGGTTTGTATAATGTAAACCATCTGTTCCTCAACAATACAGCTAATTTCCTGCCATCACCGTACAGTCTACCGACTGCTTCTTGAAGGGTTTTTATGATTTTTTAACTAGTTCAGGATTTATGTAAAATTTGAAAATGAGTCTATAGTTAAGACTCATTTGTACCAAGTAACTTGAGCATTTTAAAAATGCAAATCATTATGTAAAGGATTCCCCTGAAACCAATTTCTGAGCGGTTTGCTCTGGGTATTACTGTGCCGGCTGCTGCACAGGTGTTCAAAAGAAAGGTTTTGTGAGATCTACCATTGTATATGTTTTCTACACTTCTTTCTAAAGCAAACCCCAAATTTGTTTTTGTTTGTTTGGGGGTACAAAGGATTGAATCCAGGGGCCTTAACCACTGAGCCACATCCCTAGCCCTTTTTATGTTTTATTTTGAGACAGGGTCTTGCTAAGTTGCTTAGGGACTCAGCCTCTTGAGCTGCTGGTATTATGGGCATGTACCACCACACCTGCCTCCCAAATTTGGTTTTGAGTGCTTCTAGTAGACTATTCCTTCCTGCTATATAGGTGGGAGAAGACTTGGACTCCATACTGCTTGGCCCATGGGCCCATGGGAATGGTGAGATATGACGAGACACACTTTAGGCCAAAATGTAGTCTTTCATGTATCTGGACAGGGATAAAGAACAATTATAATTCTGCAAAGTGATCACACCCTGGAGCTCATAGCCCTGCGAGGTGTCAGGCCTGGTCTGAGCCTCCAGAGACATTCTGTATTTGCATCTATGTGGAATTGCTGACTTCAGCCTTCTTTGGTTTCACACAGGATGGGCTTTGCAGATGCAAGTGCAGCTCTTTGGGGTCTCCTGAAAAATCTTGATACTTTCTTTAAGCCTCTTTCTCCTTATGTAGAATGGCAAAATCACCTTTGGAAATTCATTTGTTTGCCTCCGTGGAGGGGTGGGCAGCCTGCTCCTAATAACCAGGGGCCATGTGTCAGGTTTCACCAATTCCCATCATTCCTTCTTCTCTTCCTATTCCCAGAAGTCTGGCCTGCTGCTTCCTTGTCCTATTTGCCAGCATCTGCTCTTCAACATGAGCTCTTGCTGCCTCCACTTCTATCCATTCTTACCAGAACTCTCTGAGGAGTTCTTCAGGTCACAACTTTGTACCCACCCTCCGGCTTCCAAACAAGTTATGTTATTTTTTTTCAATTATTTTTTTACTAACAACAACAGGAGAACAGAGAAAATTTGTCAAGAAGACACTTAAACATATATTTTAAAATATAGAAGGAATCAGACAAGACTCTAGAACTACTTAAGGCTATAAATGGATCTAAATCATTTGCATTTACTCCACTTCTTGGATGACTTCCCTAATGAGGATAATGAGAATGATTTAAAGGACACTTATTAGGTTGAAGTTACTTTTATACATTGTAGTATTTAATCCCTACTGCAACTGGACTAGTTATATTATTTCTTAGATATGGAAACAGGTTCAGAGAAGTTAAGAAACTCACTCAAGGTCAGCAGCTAATATATAGGACCTCCTCTTCAGGGTTGTGTTAATATTTATGAAGTGCTTAGAATAGTTTTGGCACATAGTACTATATAAGTATTCACTATTGTTAATAGAAAACAGCAGATCCAAGATGCAAACTCAAACTTGTATGATTCCAAAGCTCACTTGGTTGGAATTATACCATACTGCCTATGGGTCAGTTTCAAGCAGTGGGGGAGAAGAGGGTGTTTGGTTTCTAACTCCTTATTATATCAGTCTAATAACCCATGGGTTTGTTTCCCAATTCTCATTTTCCCAAAAGAAGTTTTAGTACTAAGTCTCTTAGCCCTCTCTACCATCAAAAGCCTGGGGAATGTTACTTAGTCAAAAAGAAATACCTACTATGCTGTTCAAGGGACCATCACATCAGTTAGATTCATTTACATCATTAGCAAATGTTATTATTCAAGGCCCCAATCTCAACATCATGTAGGAAAAAGTCATCTTGGGTTACTCTTAATAGAAAAAGTAAAATCATCCAAGTGCTGCAAGAGAAAAAAGTTAGTTCAACTGGTCCTTTCTTATCATCAACACCTTGCTCTCCCAGAGGAACTTCATTAGTTGCCACAAGTGCTAGGGCTACAGCTCAGTGGTAGAGCACATGCCTAGTGTGCATGAAGCCATGGGTTCAATCCCTAGCAAATAATAATAATAATAATAATAATAGTAATAATAATAATAGTAATAGTAATAACAGAAGGATCCAGACAACAAAGGAAAAATTGTGGCTAGACCTATAATTGCAGAAGAAATTTCTTGATTTATCCCGTGGAAAGGCTGACCATATAGTTCTAAATTTAACTATTAATTTTTTTGAATTGATAGTCCATTTTCCTATATAAAAAATATAAAAAGGCATGATAGCAAGTTGGGATGTACCTAAGTGGTGGAGCACTTCCCTATGAGGATAAGGCCCTGGGTTCAATCCCTAGTACCACCACCAACAACAACATAAAATAACAGGAAAAATTTCCACTTCTGTGCCCCTTTCTAATTCTTACCACCATACCTTCCAGATAACCATTGCCGTACCCCAAGTCTCCTTTTGTAGTTTCTATATGCATATGCAGAGAATTATGAGTGTATTCATTTTTCTCCTTTTTTCTTTTTTTTACAAAATGTCACAAACAGCATTAACTCTTTGTTTACTTTTTCTGTTAAATTCAGCAATAGGATTTTGGAGACTTTTCCATATCAGTACAGGGAAAACTTCCTTATTCTTTTTCACAAGTATAGGATATTTTATATACTAGTTCTACCATGACTTATTTAATAAGTAGGTCTTCTCTAGGGGGACATTTGAGTTATTTCTAATCTTTTGCTATTACAAACAATACCATAAAGCATAGGACTGAATCAATAAGCTTTTCTTTACTGGAAATTTAAAGAAATCATTAAAAAAATGCATTACCATTAATTTCAGCACAAGTGTATTTTTAGATTCTTTTCTGGTTGCTTCATGCCTCCTTTCAGATGCTTTGATGTCTTGCCTTAAGAAATGTTTTAATCCACATTATTCCTTTCTTTCACACAGAGCAAAGCTAAAGAGCTGCCTCTTTCTGCTGTACGTTTTATGGAAGAACTGGGCGAATGTGCATTTGGAAAAATCTATAAGGGCCATCTCTATCTCCCAGGTATGGACCATGCTCAGCTGGTTGCTATCAAGACCTTGAAAGACTATAATAACCCTCAGCAATGGACAGAATTTCAACAAGAAGCCTCCTTGATGGCCGAACTGCACCACCCCAATATTGTCTGCCTTCTGGGTGCTGTCACTCAGGAACAACCTGTGTGCATGCTTTTTGAATATATGAATCAGGGGGATCTCCATGAGTTCCTCATCATGCGGTCCCCACATTCCGATGTTGGCTGTAGCAGTGATGAAGATGGCACTGTAAAATCCAGCTTGGATCATGGAGATTTCCTGCACATTGCAATTCAGATTGCAGCCGGCATGGAATACCTGTCTAGTCACTTCTTTGTCCACAAAGACCTTGCAGCTCGCAATATTTTAATCGGAGAGCAACTTCATGTAAAGATTTCAGACCTTGGGCTTTCCAGAGAAATTTATTCTGCTGATTACTACAGAGTTCAGAGTAAATCTTTGCTGCCCATTCGCTGGATGCCCCCTGAAGCCATCATGTATGGCAAATTCTCTTCTGATTCAGATATCTGGTCCTTTGGGGTTGTCTTATGGGAGATATTCAGTTTTGGACTCCAGCCATATTATGGATTTAGTAACCAGGAAGTGATCGAGATGGTGAGGAAACGCCAGCTGTTGCCATGTTCTGAAGACTGCCCGCCCAGGATGTACAGTCTCATGACAGAGTGCTGGAATGAGATTCCTTCCAGGAGACCAAGATTTAAAGATATTCATGTCCGACTTCGGTCCTGGGAGGGTCTCTCAAGTCACACCAGCTCTACTACTCCTTCTGGGGGAAATGCCACCACGCAGACAACCTCCCTCAGTGCCAGCCCAGTGAGTAATCTCAGTAACCCCAGATATCCCAATTACATGTTCCCAACCCAGGGTATCACACCACAGGGCCAGATTGCCGGTTTCATTGGCCCAGCAATACCTCAGAACCAGCGCTTCATCCCCATCAATGGATACCCAATACCTCCTGGCTATGCAGCCTTTCCAGCTGCCCACTACCAGCCAACAGGTCCTCCCAGGGTAATTCAGCACTGCCCACCTCCCAAGAGTCGGTCCCCAAGCAGCGCCAGTGGGTCGACCAGCACTGGCCATGTGACCAGCTTGCCCTCATCAGGATCCAATCAGGAAGCAAATATCCCATTACTACCCCACATGTCAATTCCAAATCATCCTGGTGGAATGGGAATCACGGTTTTTGGCAACAAATCTCAAAAACCTTACAAAATAGACTCAAAGCAACCATCTTTGCTAGGAGACTCCAATATTCATGGGCACACCGAATCTATGATTTCTGCAGAACTGTAAAATGTGCAACTTTTGTAAATGTGGTATACAGGACAAACTAGAAAGCCGTAGAAAAGATTTATATTCAAATATTTTTATTAAAGTAAGGTTCTCATTTAGCAGACATTGCAACAAGTATCTTCTGTGAAGTTTAACAGTGTCTTACCAAGCAGGACAGACACTAGCCAGGAAAAAAAAAAAAAACGCACTGTGGGATTTACAGTCCATCCAGGTGCATGGAGTGACATTGGGATTGGAACATTCGGTTTCAAGTACTTAAAACTGGAAACCATTGAAGAAGAAAAGAACCTGGTGATTAAACATCAAACCAAAAAGGAAAGTTGAATGGTGCTTTATGTATTTGCCTTTAGTCACCATGACTGGTTTCTCCCCGAGATGTATATACCATAGCATTTGTCTACCTGCTGTCTTTTCTTCAGGACAAATGTTCAGGAATTATACTGATTCGATTTAGACTCTATGCGTGTTTGTATGGAAGTGGTGTTCAGAGTCAATGAGGAAACTTTAGGCCAAATTTGAAATCTTGGATGGAAATGAGCCATAACAATGTATCACATGCCCTGAAGTCTTCTCCACAGTGGGGCTTCCTTGGGAAGGTGCAGAATATGCCTCTTTGTGAACCACCTTTTCTGATCATGAAGGCCTTTTCCACATTTTCCTTTCTCACAATGTGTTTACACAAGTCCTTGAAATAACACAGGGCATAGCACCCTAAGAAGGCTGAATGTGGATGCTGGAATTGATTGTTGATTGATAGTTCACCTGGCTGCATTAGGAACGAGACACTGAAGGAGGCATAGCCAGGGAAATTGTCCCTCAACCTAGATAAACATCCATGGGAGAAGAACAAGAGTTCCCAAAAAGACAGCCTCCACAGGAGTTCCCCTGGACCAATAAAGCTGAAGAGTAGAGGTGTGGCTGCAGACAAGAAGGCCACATCTTGCAGCCCCAGCCCCATTTACAAGTTGTTTGAGGTGCAGGGTGCTTACCATCAGTGGACTTTAGGCAAACAGGGAACCCTGCAATGATACCAATAGCTTGGAAATTTAAAACCCCCCACCCCCACCTTTTTTTTCCCCCTGTGCTGGAAATGTTCACAGATTTTATTTCAGCCCCAAGAATTATAACAATGTATTCATACAATTAGTTGAAATCCAAAGACAATACGTTCTGTTTTGCAAGACATTACAGTATTTCGAAAAAACAAGTAATGAGTTTTCATTTCAAAGGGTACCAACAACTGCATTCTTTAAACTGGTAAATAAGCAACATAATCCTTTTTGCCTTCTTTAGACAGGGGTATCAAATGTGCTTCTCCTGGCATTTACTTGCCAAGCATCTTCTGCCAAGTTTAGAATTCTTATGGGTTTCAAGTCCTATATAGGAAGGAGCTTTATATTTGATTTTTCTCTTGTTAAAAAATAACTCCTTTATTCTAAGAACAATGTCTCCAAGTCTTGTTTTCATTTAAAGCTATGTGAGACTTCCAGGATGTAAATTAATTCCTGGAAATGATATTTCATGAGGAGAATGTAAAAGAATTAGAAACCACCTTGATGTTTCCATTTTAAAAAAATACAATTAGCATGGGAAAGCAAGGAAAACTATTTAACAAAATGTGTTGTAATTTTTCCAAACTTGAATTTTCAAAGAACAAACATGAACTTATAGTTACTGTGAACTCAAAGAATTGGCTATATTCAGATTTTCTGGGAGATAAATTAAGACATATTTTTGTGGCATGAATAAGCTGATTCAAGACATTACATTTCTTAACATTAGGTAGAGGAGAATATTTGTAACCTTTTGTTGCTATGCAACTATTTAATGATGAAGCTTCAAACCACAATTTTGTATATCATATGACAATCAATTGTTTTTCCAAGAATATTTATTATTTTAAGTAAACACAATTTCAGTGAATCTGAGTTTTTCTAGGAATCCCTTAAAGGGAAATTAGCATTCCATGAGCCAGTAAAATACCTTCTCTGGAAAAACATTATTATGGTTAAAAAATAAATTCAAGTTAGTTTTTTATAAAGAACTATGACATTTATTTTAAACATTTTATAATAGCTGAAATCATTAAGGTGAGCAAACTAAATTTCAAAACCACTTGTAATAATGTATTTTATAACAGCACTGTGATACTGAATAACACAGTCCCTTTTGTATTAAATAGTATTTTTTAACAAACTGAAAAATATCTTTTGCTTTGTTGACAATGTGTTTTGTAAGATTACTTTATTTTCAGATTCTTTTTTTGCACAAAACTATGTTTATGGTTTGTATCACAGAAGTGAAAATATATCTTTGCATTTTTATATCTGGTCTGTTTCCTTATTTCCTTTATTTGTTCTTAACTCAATATAGATTTTCTTCAAATATATAATGGCAATAATCAGATATTTCACCTTACCATATCTTTCCTTATTTTCACTGCATGCATTTAATCACTGTATTACTTAATGTTTGATTTGTTGTTATGGGCATTTCAAATAGACAAGCATGGAAATGTAATGATGAAAAGGCTATTTTATATCAAGGATATATGCATTTGTATCACACACCAGAGATGATATTAAACACTGATTATTTTATGCTGCTGTTTATTAAAAATGTTTACTATAAAATATTATTTCCTGAATATTGCTCTCTAGAAATATTTGGGAATTCTAATATTATTTCTCCTAATGATTGACATTTTGTAGAAAGAAGAATCACAAGACATATTCATACATGCTTCACTGAAATGATTTTTTAAGTAGGCTTTTAAAATAGACTTGAGGGGCTGGGGAAGTAGCTCAGTGATAGAACACTTGTCTGGCATGCATGGGGCCCTGGTTTTGATCCCCAATATTGGAAAAGTAAAAAAATAAATAGACTTGGGCATTCTTCTGCTAGTGACTGCAGGTGGAAGGGAGGCTTTCAATGATTTCATAACCAAATACTATCCACCTATATATGGCCAAGCCTTGAATTCTTAAAATAACACCTTGAACAATTACAATGAATGGAATGTAAAAAAAATGGAATAGGAATTTCCATATGAACTTAGACATCAAAACTCATGTTTTAGGACACTAAAGAAGAAAAGGCTGCCTACATCCTATCATGTCCAACTTAGATTCCAACCATATTGATAAAATAAAAGAAATGTGGCCATTTAATTGTCACAGCTTATCTTTATGACCTTATTTACCCAAAAGAAAGAGTTTCCCATCTGGCGATTAATACATACTGTCAAGGAAAATGAGTATCATTATGAAAGTTCAAAGAACTTGTCCATTTCTGCTATTTAATACAGAAGGGAATACAATAAAACCTCCAGGGCCTTATCCATCTGTTTTAGGTACAGCTCTTGTCACCACCTCAACGATCAAACTCAATAAGGCAATCGCTTCATATGGCAGTGAGATCCCTGTCAGGTTGGGTTTCTCCCTCACACTTGAATTTCTCAATCTGTCCTTCACTCCCATTCCTTCTTATGTCTCTCCAGCTTCTTGCCTCTCCCACCATCCCCAATCCCTTCAACTCTGAGCATCCCTCGATTCCCTTAATTCCTTAATCACCAACATCTGCAAGCTCCCAGCCTCACTCTCCCATTCTGCCTGCTATGAGGCACAAAGTACTGAATAAAAGAGATTCTATTAAGCCCACCATTGTGTATAAATAACATGCACCAACTAAAAAAGAAGAGTTCTATTATCTATATACCTTTGAAGATGATTACCTATCTCGGTATTTCTCAAAGTGGGGTTCCCAAAGCCAGGCATCAAGAGCACCCAGAAACTTGTTAAAAATGCAAATTAATGAGCTCCACTTCAAAGTTCTAAATCAGAAATTCTTCCTGTGGAACCCAGCAATTTGTGTTTTAATAATCCCTCCAAATGATTCTGACCTACTCTAAAGAACATTTTAGCACTCTATTGTCTTTACAGAAAATCAAGTTTTACTTAATCAAAAACTCAGCACCGGGCTGGGGATGTGGCTCAAGCGGTAGCACGCTCTCCTGGCATACGTGCGGGCCGGGTTCGATCCTCAGCACCACATACAAACAAAGGTGTTGTGTCCACAGAAAACTAAAAAATAAATATTAAAATTCTCTCTCTCTCTCTTTAAAAAAAACAACAACTCAGCACTAAAACCTGTTTGTGTTAGCTGTTTGACAATCGGCTAGCTATATTTTTCTGTAATTGCTTGGATAAAAAAGAACAGCACAGGCTGGGGTATAGCTAGTGGTAGAGAGCGTGCATAACGCACAGGCACACACACACACACACTATATCTATATAGTGAGTGTGTGTGTGATATATAGATATATAGATATAGTGTGTGTGTGTGATATATTGATATGTAGATATAGTGAGTGTGTGTGTGTGTATGTGTGTGTGTGTGTGTGATATATAGATATATATAGTGAGTGTGTGTGTGTGTGGCTGTCATGCTTCTTCGAGTTCACCCAAGTCACTTATTCTTGGATAATGGCTGAAAGATTTTTCCCTTCTTATGGACAAGCTCAAAACAACTGGTTTCTTAGTACACCTCTTAACTCTTGGACTGATGATTAACAAAATGAAAGGAACACTCCTCCGTGTTAACAGAAGCATCTTGAAGGCTAGGCAGGTCTTCTACAGAGGGCAAGGCTGGAAAGCCCCTAAAAAACATCAAACTGGAAGGTGCCAGAGATTCCCCTCCCCCTCCAACCCTTGCACTTCTTGTGACTCCACCCAGTTGTGGGGAAACAATCACACTGTGACTTTTTCCTCCAGCTAGCTGCAGTCCAACAGCACTTGGTTGGCTGTGAGCACTCTGCTTTTAGACGTGATGCCCCTTCTTACCCTTCCCTGGTCTCTACAGGGCTGGAAGTTCCAAGGAGGACAGGGATAGGGACCCAAGTAGATGCCTGGGTGAAGCTCATACTCTTAATTTATAGAGAGGTTTTCCTAAAGAGGAAGTACTAGATTACAGAAGCAGAAGGAGCAAGGAAGCACACGTGTAAGAAAGTGGTTCTTTTGCAGTCATAATAAGACTGCACCTGAAGTTTGTTACCATAAATGCCAAGAGTATTAGGACACTGTTAACTCAGGAGAGGGGGAGCCTTACAAACCATCAAAGCACTCAAGGTCAATGTAATCCTCTGGGAAATTAGGCTGGGAAGGCTTAAAAACATAGAGACATACAGGGAGAAGGTCTGCTGACATATTTATGACTAGTTGAATCCTAAGCACCTATGAATTGCTTATTCACAAATGAATACCATAACATTTGCTGACCAGGCCTGGCAAGATGCGTATCCCATGCTGTAGTGACTGTGAGTAAATATTCTAACTCAAGAGTGGTTAAGTTAGGAGGAAGGCCCTACTTTAAAATTAGATTAGGCATTACTTATATTTTTTGAAAGGGCAATATCAGGACATGCTGAAATAGAAATAATTCAGAGAATATTCACTTTGAAGGAAAGTATTCTACATGCCAGTCTTCATGGACTTGTGCTCTCTAAATTCAGATGTACATAAGCAAAATAACAGAACCAGCTACATGAAGCCATAGATTAAAGCTCAAGCCCTCCATAGCCTTAGAAGCATATGTGCTTCAGAAATAGGTCTCATGTTTCAGCAGAGATGGGTCTGCTGCAGAAGCCCTGCTCCCAGGTCTCTGAAGGACAAGGGGCTGTCATGGCATAGGGAAAAGAGCAACAGGCAGAACCAAAACACAGTCATTCAGAAAACTTCTGCTCATACATGTGCTATGTTGTATCCTCTTGGCCAACCCAAATTCTGAGACCAAACTTAACTATAAAGACATATTGGGAGACACTGCAAGACACATGGTCACGGGCAGGGATGTTGGCAAATATTATTAATCGGTGTTCTTCCAAGCTGAGCTCAGATTTAGCCTTAATTTTTTGTTAACATACTTACCTAGACAACCTACCACTCAATCAGAAACAGCACTAAAAATGAATTTAATAGGCATCGTTGGGCTAAGCAATCATTGTCAAACTGAGTTATCACCACGATCGTCTAGAAATTATAATTTCTCAGGCTGACCCTAGAATATACCAGAAAAGGTACCTTAAAAATCTCCTATAAATTCCTCAGAAATAGCATACAACACTGTATCTCTAGGTTCCCCTCCTTCCTGACTTAGAGGGGAAGACAGGGAGCAACAGCACTTATTTGACAACTGCACCAGCAAATGACCTGGTTGATCTTCAGTAGCTAATGTAATCTCTATCTATCTCCTTATCTACCAAATGTTGTAAATATAACTAACAGTAGTTAAAAGTAAGGGTTCTGGGCAGGGAATGTAGCTCGGTGGTAAAGTGTATACTTAGCATACTGTCCCTGGATTCCATCCACAGCACCAAAAAAAAAAAAAAGTAAATGTTTTAATGTCAAATTATTGAAGCTTAAATCTCTCCTTCAGTCACTGAACTTAAATAAGTCACTGGTGGTTGTTGGGGTTTTTTAACCTAAAAAGTATCTATTTCATAGAATTTTTGTGAGATTTCACCTAACACAAAGTTCTCAGAAAATAGAGCGTGTATAATTTTGTAGTTTTTCTAACACCAATCTTTCAGATTTGGTATGAGCATTTAATGAGACTATCTAAAAACACAAGAAGTATCTATCAGAGAGTAGTTGCTCAAAAAGTGGTAACATTGTTATTCAATGTGTTTTAAACAATTTTTATAAAGGGTGACATTATTTTCTAATGTGGTAAATAGAGCATAAACTATTCTATTTAATTATTCACGTGTAGACCGTAATGTAGAACACCCAGTACTGGTGCCAAAGAGGTGGGGCTAGGCTTAGCTCCTCAATAATTTCCATCATCTCCCTTCAAACCACCCCTAATAAACATACACTAAGTAAAAACAGCTTCAAAACACACCCCTGAGACATCCCTGAGCCATATGTCATCCCTTACACCCTTTCTGAGACGATTGCCACCTCAGAGCCTCTCTCACCATGAATTTCTGGAACTATCCCTGAGGCAACTGAGAACACTGTGAAAAGGTATATTAAACTGATATACGTGAAGGAAGCCTAGGATAATTCATTCTTTTAAATGCCTCCCCCCTACACACACACACACAAACACACACAGTCACAACTGTACTTAGATATCACGAAATGCCATATCTCTTGGTAGAAAGTATTTTCATGTGGGCAAATAAAATGAAAGGAGACCTGATTCTTGTAAAAACACATCAGTACATGTGAAGAACCCAGGAAAACACTGCATTTCTTCCTCACAGACACCAAGCTCCAAAAACAAGTGGACAGCTTTGACCAAGTTGTTTCACAATTCTCAC